ATACAAAGCTACAACAAAATGAAGATAGTTTTCCAAATTCATAAATCAAAATGGTGGCAATTTTAAACTATTGTAAAATCAACAGTTTTAGAAACAAAATTTTAAATTGCCACCATTTTTTTAATGAATTCGAAAAATTGTTATATTTTTTGTAGCTTTGCCTAGTTGTCATAAATTTTTGCGCAAAGTTTCAATTTTGTATCTTTAACAACTTTTTAGAAAAGAAAAAAATTTATAAGTGAAAGAAACAAAGTGGGAGCTGTGTGAGGAACTAAGGACTTCCGGACAATCTAATTTATTTATATTATGTTTCTTACTCAGGAACAATGCCCTAAAATATTGGTAGAGAGTTCTTGGACACCCTGCATATGAGCTTTTAACCAGCAGGGCCAGCCGTGGTTATTGTTTTATACTCTTTGGTTTAGTTACATTATTACATTTTTCAATACATTTGCTGGTATTAAAAATAAATTAACATCTTAGGGCGATAGACGGACTAATGTTTGTTTTGTTTATCTATAATTAATTTATAATATCACCCTCATCAGCATAACATACCTTTTTTTACCCATTATTACAAGTATAGCTTCACATTGTTAAGAATTAAAGTCATATTTATCTAATAACTCGTAATAAAATGAATGAATCATCGCGTAGAAGGTTAATAACTTTTATAAAAAATGTCAAATATGAATCAATATATTCAAACTGAAAAGAATAAGAATTTATTTCTTTTTCTTCGCATCTTTGTTTGTATTTAAAGCTCCTTTGAAGTTTTAATTAGGTAAGTTTGATAATATTATTAGTGACTTTAATTACTACAAGTAGTTCAATTCAATTGTCCGTATGACTATTTCCATAGGTATTTAATAGTGCAACCCCTGATAGCGATAAGTTTAGCTCTCTTTTGTGCGATTCTATTATTTGAGTAGACACGAAACAATAGTTTTCCGTTTGTATAAGTTTAATGTTATAGTGTAGCATATGGTTGGAAAGCTTAAAAATGGCGCAGTTTTTAACATATTTGGCCACCAAGTATACAGGGTGTAGAAAAATGCAATAGACCAATGTTTTTTTTTAAATTTTTATCAAACACCTTAATTATTAACTTTTGATCCATTTACAATGGACTTTTTACTATTGATCCTCCATCGTTTTCTATTATTCTTGTACACAATTTAATGTAGACCAAGAAAATGACATTATCTACTAAAAAAACTTTTACAGGTAATTGAGAAATTGTTGTATTAAGTTTAAAAACATGTTTAGTTTTGGAAAACTTAAAATAATTCTTTGGGAAGCCAATTTTTAGATTTGAAACCTCTTATATGCATCATCACACTTAATTTACTTTGTACTTACACCAAAAAACTTTTGTCACACTGAGTACAAATCACCCTGTATAGTCTTGTCATATTAATTCTAAACAATACAATACCAACATTTAAAATGTGGCAGTAAACTTTAAGGGAGAAAAATGTAAATGTTTTTTGGAGCGTAAAAAAATAGTAAAAAAGTACATAATTTGATTTCAGTTAAGTATTTATCAAAGATAATTGTATAGATGCATGGCTGAGATTTGACATTTGTACGACAGAGTATTCCTGGCTTTAAGATAAACATGTCAGTAGTGTAAAATAAGACAGGTCGTCTTTATACGGTTCAGTTGATTGGTAATTAAGTGAACCACCACTTTACATACTTTCAATGTTAGTCGAGAATAGCATAATTGAAAACTGTATATACTGACAAGAAAAATGAAAAAATCAAACATTGGCATAACGTTCAGCTATGTTTTTCATTCAAACAACATAAAAAATAATAGATTCTACGGTAGGTACTTTGAATGTTTACTTAAATGCCCATTTAAACAGAATTTTAGGATCTGAACTGGGTTCTGCCCCATCATGGTTAAGCAAGAGTACTATGTATACAGGTGAAAATATTACCAACAACAACTGTTGCCATTCCCTCAATGCTGATGAAAGAGGGTTCTTATGCGTCACCGACACATGTACAAACATACAGGAAATCAGCATTTCAGTAGTTAATTAGGGACTAACTCGTCTTTTACCTGGTATAAAATTAAAAAAAAACCTATTAAGGCAAAGAAAAAAACTTGAATCTCATTTATGTAGATGGCCAATCCAAAAACGTAGCATATTTTACATGTAAGTTTTATATTAACCGACTCACATGGTGACTATTTAGGTATAAAACAATATTTTTAATTTATGTAAACTAAAGTTACTTGTATTTCAAGATTTTAGCTACAGATTTGTAAATTACTCCTATTTTGAAGCTGTTGAATAGGTGAGTAACTTATTCGTGTTTTGCAACGATTTAATATCACCACATATTTGTTTATAAAAAAATAACACACATTCTGAAAACACATTCTTTCTACATAAAAAGGTAGAAGAGAAAATTTAAAGGAATAAAATTATAAACAGGAATATTAGAAAAGATAAAAGAAAATGTAATGTCAAGAAGGGAATGCACTTGTCTGTGATACAACTTATTACGTAAATATTTCTGTCACAGTTCGCAGAAAGAATCTTTCTCTAACCAGCTGACCGATATTTGGAATTGTATTCTCCAAACAGATGATTGCCATTCGATAGATGACGTATGTAGTTAAGAGATAAAAAGTGTCCAATATCGCACAAAATAGATTTTTGGACATTTATTTTTTATTTACAAATTAGCTTGACATTCTAACTAATCTAACGAATCAAGGAAAAGAATGTAATATTGATTGGTGCTGTATTACGAAACAGGCAGCGTAAATCGGAATTTTGCAACATATACAATGGCAACCATGATACGTAAAACAATGATAACCATACATACACCTAGGAGGATTAAACATTAAGGAGAGGACACGCTGTAGTTTCGTTGAAGCCATCGTGAGCGTACTGGTGAGGGGGGGGAGGCAGCGCTACTCTCCCGCCCCCCTCTCATTCTGCGTTGTATGCGTTACTGGAAGATTTGGTAACAGGAATATCAATTAACTATTCAAAAATTAGACTTCATCATGCTACGAAAATTAAAAATTTAAATTCTAACCGTAATATTAGGAACCTATTAAGAGGAAAGTCATATTTATGAACCAATAGTAAGTTCAAAGGTGAGAAATTTACACAAGGATGACTTGTTTTTTAGAATTCGTTGTCCTTGTTTTTATTTTTTGCCATACTTATATTGTGTATTATTTATAAATACTCTTACCAGAGCGCGGGACTCCGGTTCCTGGGGTCCCGGGTTCAAATCCCGCCATATCACCAATGGATTTTACTGTTCATATATTAAAACTTAAATCATGAGTAGTACTGTATATGTTTTTGAAAATGTTTCTTAAGTTTTAATCCTTTAAAAGAATGATAAACGCACTTTGGCGGTCAGAAGATGATTGTTGACCATTTACACTTTTTACTCGAAGTTTCTTTGGGCAAACAGATCAAATATAGTTCAATATGATATTAAAAAATCAAGAATTTGATTGCCAAGAAACTGTTTTACTTTTTATGTTTGTAATTTAATTGTAACGGCTGTTGGTGTAAACAAAGTTAGAGCGGCTTTGAATTTTTTCTTAACTTTGGCTATTTAAAATCACCTGCCTAGCACATAAATGCCTTAAAACTAGTAAAAACTGATATTAAAAAATCGAGAAAACTATGAAAAATGCAAGTTTAAAATGTATTTCACCACCCGAATAAAAATTTTCATTTTAACCTATAATTAGCAAGATTGTATTATAAACTGAAAAAATTAAAAATAAACTTTGTTGTAATTATTTTTCTAAATACCACTTTTAAATATAGGTAAATATATATTTTTTATTTCGATAAACTCTTAAGGAACACGAATAAATTGTTAATTTGTGTAGATACATCATATTTTTTTCAAAAACGTAATTAAAGTAATCATATGTTCAAAGTCCAGGCCAATTCTTTCAACTTTGATCTTCAATAATAAATAATAAATAATAGTTTTTATATGAATGATTGACACCGTTCGATAGGAAATTTAATTTACTTTAAGAATGCCATCGGTGAATAACACAGGTGTTTTAGTTTAGCGGCAATTTTAATCCGAAACAGCGCGCGTCGCGTTTTTCCCTATCTCTCCCATGTTATAGCAGCGGCTTTTTGCCACTCTACGGCTCCGCGTGCCCCTCTAGTGTTCTGCTAAAGCTGGCTTCACCGCAACATGTGTATTCCTATTCGAGTGCCCTCTCCTTAATGTTTAATCCTCCTAGACATACACACAGTCGGACAGGAACTGAGGCAAGACTTGTTTCGGCTTTCGAGGCTATAAAACGTAAAATTAACCGAATACTTTATGATTCTGTGTAATTTTCAGACATAATCGAAATTTGTCGTTATTTTTTGACGTAGATTTTGAACCAATGTTTAGTTAAGTATTGTAAGTATTTTCTCACAGTATTATAAGTATTGGAATTTCTCAACTGCTTACACAGGTTGCGCTCTATAGCGAATACTGGTAGTTAAAGTGAAATATTTGTTGGTGGGTCAAAATGATATTAAATTACAAAATCTAAAAGTTTTACATTGAATTATTCCAGTAATTAATAAACCCTCCCTGTCAATGTTTGTATGCCGATTGTAACCATTGTTCAGTACATTAAGTCTTGTAAGCTATGTCTTCGGCGTTATTAAGTTTTGCCAGAAGAAATATCCGACCATATGCCAGTCTTGAAAGGTATGTTACTCAAAATTTCGGTAGGTTAAAACGAATAGTGAACAATATATGCTACTGTTGACCCAAAAACCCCGCAGACATTTATATACTGTATGTATACTATCAAAGTAGCTGACGTGCCGGTAAAAATGTTTATTATGTTCCTTGTTGAGAGATTATTGGGCATATACGAATTATTTAACTGTAAAATCATTCAAGTATGTTTCAATGAATACGTTAATCAAACAACTGCATCAACCTAAGTTAAATGCAAACATTATAAACACCAGACTCACCCCAACGTCGTCATCGTCACGATGGTGTACCAGAAAGCGGCAGGAATGGAAGTGAAGTTTGTTCCGTCCACATTTTTTTCAGCGTAAAACATTACAGTCGCGAAAATAATTATAGCCATAGCTAGAGAGAAAACCAGAAATCCCAGTTCAGAAGCACACGATTTAAGTGTATAACCTAAAATACGAAGTCCTTGCGAGTGTCGCGAAAACTTGAAAATACGAAACACGCGGAACACCCGAAGGGTAACAAAGGCGCCGGAGACATCGTCGTTGTCGGTGATTCCGAGTCCGATGTAGTAGGGAAGGATGGCGACGACGTCAATGATGCTCATAACACTACGAACGAACTTGCATCGGTCTGGCGCCGCGAAAAGTCTCAGAAGATATTCTGCAGTGAATATCATAACACAAGCGGTATCCAAACAAAAGAACACGATTTTGTACCTCTCGCCACACGGCAGAGTCCCCGCGCGGCCCGGACGGTGGCCACAAGGGACGGTCTCCACTACATTAGCCATCACGGACACCGCAATGAAGAACCCCGTCACGTAGTAGAATACTAGGGCAGCAGTCGAAGTATGAGGATTCTCGAACGCCCTCCACATCTTCTGTCGGATGTTGGTCAGTTGCGGGAGGTTCTGGTCACCGTTCTCCGACAGTTTGTCGTCCATCAGTCGTTCGGCGTTTTCCCTCTTCCTGTCTCTGTAGTCTTCGTAACAGCAGTCTCCAATGACGTCCGGCAGTATGCCGAAAAACGCCAGCTCCTCGTCGTAGCTGGTCAGGCATTCGTGTTTCGGATAATGCAGTTTCCCCGTGCGGTAATAGTTGAGAATGTGTCGAAAAATGTCCGGATCGCGGTCGAAAAAATACTCCTTGCACTCCTCGTCAAAAAAGAACTCGCGTTCGTTGGATCCCAGAAGAGTGTCGGGGTATTTCTCTAGGGTGTTTCGCCAAGTCTCAAAACGACGGCCGGAGACGTTGATGAGCAGCTTCTCGTCGTCGGCCTTCCGCCTGTCCTTGGGTATCGGAGGCGGTGGGAGCGGATGAGTGGCGATCGGCACCCAACCGATGGCCGCCGCCCGCGCGAAAGGCAACCAAGCGGCGACCGAGGCCATACTGTGCGGAGGAATGGTTACTGGTACATCGTGTCAGCGTCCGTCACGTCGGCACTACCATGCTGGCTGCCACATTCCGACTAAATTGATTTTCCCGTGGTCGCGGACTGCAGCACGACGGAGAACTCTGTCGGGAGATGAGTGAACCGATGTTGCCGGGGTAACCATGACGTCGTACCACCCCCTCCACCTCCTCGGATACGACGTCGTTTACTACTCGGGAGTCGGGACGCTGCATACTCGCCGCACACACATATCTCTCCGTCTCCTGGCTTCCCTTCCTCACTCTCTCACAACATACACGACATACGCGACGCATACTCTCTCTCTCTCTCTCTCTCTCTCTCTCACACACACACACACACACACACACACACACATGCGACAGTCACTACATTCGTACATATGTTGTTGTAAAATGCAATACACAACACATACCAGTCGCTACAATGACGTCTATAAATAGAAGGAATTGGGTAAATTATTTTGAGTCCAGTTTATTTAACGTATTCAATAACCATTGATGCATTTTTCATAAAAGCAAATTACATCAAACACATCAATGACAATCCGTGAGACGAATAAATATCGCTAGTGACCAATTACAATTTGATGAAATAAAACTGCTGCTTTGATGATATAAAAATGTTCGTATCGTACACGTAAAAGTATTATTTGAATTTTAAAAATACCGAAAATTGAAACTTGAAAACCGTTCTGTGCATGGCAATACAATATCATACTTTAGATTTTATAAGATTACTTTATCATATTTACGGCACTAAACGTACAATAAATAGTTTGGAATAATTCATGTAAAACATACTGACCTACAACACGATGATATTTCCATCACTTGGCCATTAGATATTGCTTAAATTAATTCGATAAAATGTGTAAAAAAATATTGTCTGTTAATACCTACTTCCCAATTTATTTGTTAACAAATAGTTTTTACCCAACCACAATTTTATATTTTTTTTTATTCTAGTATTTGGCATATCTATTCTATGGTATTTTCATAAATAGTTGTTCTACCCATAGGCACTTACAGTAGGTATCTTTTTTTCTGAACAAGCAGAATGTATTTGCTTTGACATACTAATTGAATAAAATTAAATCTTTTTTGCTAACTGCCAAACCTTTGGTAAGGTCACAGTTGCTATGGTTAACAATTGTTTATAGTAGTTATGCAACGATCTTCTTCGGGTAAAAACTTATACGAGTGTCGTTAAGACTATTTTCGCGAGTTGAGTACACTACTTTACCTATGACAGTGTTTTAATTACTAACAATCACTACTCATAACTACTAAGAGAGGTTATGTTTTCGTTTATAAGCTCTCTTTGCCAGTTAAACAATGTAAAAGTAAACAATGCTGTTAAGTGAATATTTTCAGTTCTAAGAACTGAACTGAAACGGCTACTTAAAAAAACGGTCGTAGGTATAATAAGTAAAAACTTGGTATTTTTTATAATTTGTTTTATTATAGCTAGTACAAACCCTTTGCTTCTTATATCATAAGGATATCATAAACTACGTCTTTTAACACAATCCGATAATTTTACACTTTGACTATAAGCTGGTAAATATTTAGCGTGGTTTTAAAGTATCTCATCCCCTTGGTTTATCGACAGTCAATTGCGATTCAATCATGAGATTTATTGTAAAGCTACAAATGCTTAACATTTACCTGGGTAAGTATTTGGGTAAAAAGAACGGGGTTTTGTAGGGTTTTCAGATTGTTCAAAAACATGTTTTTTATCTTTGCCCCTCAAACATGAAAATGCACAACTTTTATTACAGCCATCATGTAGAGCTTAACGAATGAATATTTTACTATATTATTTAAGATTTATGGCACACTTAAAATGGCTACGGAAATAAAAAAGTACACTTAACATTCCCACGTTATTCTTATGGAGCAACCAAGCTCCACATACAACAGTAAAGTGTCATAGTTTGCTTATTTATCAATTTCAGAATTTTTTTAATTTCATACAACTCTGTAAAAATACACACATTTCACTACAACACTGCGCAGTAAACATAATTACTCGTTAAACATAATGTTACTTAAATAGAAATTAAATCTGACGTGTTAAAGAAATAGTTGAGTAAAAATCCAATCATGCAATTGGAAATTCACTTAGTCTCCAGGTTTGCTGCGGCAAGGGCTTTCCCTAATATTTCTTGTCAAAAGGAGACTGTCCCTAAGTAAGATATTGTTATCTTAATTGTTAGATATTACTTTATAATCGCCGCAAGAGATTTATTTGCTTTTATCTGCGAAGAAAGTTGTTAGTGTGCGTACAAGTTTCAAAACACATTCCACGGTACATTCCTGTTACTCGGAGTGGAGGGAACAACAGTGTTAGTTTTGGAAAGGTAGAGTGCTACGTCATAGCTGCGTTTGACAGCTCGCCAGCTCGCACAGATATTAATAAGGATCTAAAAATACTCAATAATGCCCATTACCCTTCTCCAAACCCACCCAAGACGATTGTCTCAGAATATCTTTCTTTAGATTATAGATTTCATTGATTACAGTTAAATTTGTGCAATGTGGTCTTGATGGCCTTACACCTAAAGATAAGATAAATAAAAGAAAATAAGAACGGGATAAGTAACATATTGTCAACGTACATTTGTGTTCGAGACAACCTCTTTAATTCCTGACGCAGGAGCAGCATACCCAAGCTCCCCGATCGTAACGTAGGTGTAAGGGGTTCCTCCGACATTTCTTCACCAGACACCAGACTTGAAGGACTGATTCACTCGCTGTTGACTATGATGTTTTGCTTTACTTCGGGTCTGCGTACGTGAGGAATGGCGGGAGGAGGGACGCGTTTTCGACAGCAGCGGGCTGATGGAGCCAAGAACCTTCTTGGCCAGGTCGCAGACCCTCTCAACGTGGGGAGTCGCGGTGAATTTCCAGTCTAGCAGAATTCCTAGGTAATTGACCCTGATCTTACATGTGATTTCCACACTGAGGTTGAGGTGATTGCCGTCGTGCTACCTCCTCGACCACCTGAAGGAGATGGCCTTACACTTGTTGGCCAGGAAATTTGAGAACTTTCCCTCCCTGATGAAGGTCAAAGGTGTCTGGGACGTGGTTGGAAGTAAGGTTGGAGACCACGAAGACATCTATGCGGCCAGCGAACGAGCCAGTCAGTCCGATGACCGGTAGGTTGGGTGGGTTCAGCCGGGGCTACCACGTCAACGTTCGGGCGGGCGGGCGTTGAGATATTGAGGACAGCTCGAGTGGGATTTCCCTCCAGTCCAGGTGCTTGTCGTTGAGGTCACCTATCAGAATCGCGTGCAATATAGGTGGAAGCAGCTCGTCCAGTAGTCCGGGATCGAGACGTCTACCAGGTGGATTGTACACGGAAGATATCCGTCGTTCTGGAGAGCGATGAGAGGTTACTTCCTACTTTCCTACTCTGGGTGGGAAGTGTCTGGGCACCGGCCTGTGGGTGACTCAGACTTAAAGGCTGGCACCTGTGGGGAGAGACTATCTTCTCCTTTCTCGGCAAATGCACCAACTGTGCTCTTGGTGTCGTCGGATGGGTTTACCTAGAGACACGCCATCTCCTCTGAAATTCCACCAATCTGTTTGCCAAAGAAAACCTCCATGCGCTTTTTGGAATTGACGATTTTATACGATTTGAAATCGTCCAAGAGGGGTGGCCTAGAATGGACGGGAACGTGTAAACCCTAGGGGAAAATCTCCTACCTCGGTTCCCGGCCTCCATTTGCTAGGCAACAAAAATCTTGAAGTAGCGGGGGTTGCGATGGTAGTGCAGAATCTGACGCATGATATGATACACTCCCTGACTAGGACCCAATGAGGCTAATCTCTGACAACACACCAAAGAGTCCCAACGGCAGTGCAACGCAAATATCTGCACATGAAAGATACTCCTAGAGCCCACTGTTGTGCACCGGTCGAAAATAAGGAGGGAAAACTCCCGAAACAGGATTAAAGGTAGAAGAATTACAGGAAAGTCTAAACATATCTAGGACCAAGGCAAAGATAAGAAGAAATCTTGGCCTCGGAGAAAGTCAGGAGCATGAAGAAAAGGATCTCCGAAACCCTGTTAATTAGTTCTTGCAACAAGCTAGGGAAGGCTGCAGTCGTATTCTAGCCTGGGATTATATTTAACTTGTCTACCCTTAAAGATCTTTAAACGTTAACTGAACTCTGTTTTAACTGCAAAGCCTTTTTACAGTAATAAATATTTCCTTGAAAACAGGCTCAATTAGTTTTATTGTTAATATTAAATTATCTTTGTATTGCTTGATTTTGAATCTGAAAAAAAAAACTAAAATATATACGTCTAATAACACTTGTAATAATATATTTACAAGTGTTATTAGTCGTATATATTTTTTCAGGTAATTTAATAACACGTACGATGCTGATCAGGAAGTTATTTAATTTTGAATGTATCTTTTTACTGTCGAACCTCCTGTTACCGCCAACAGATTTCTTTAGAAATGGTATGTACATATAGTTGTACTTACATTATTTTCTTATTTTCGACTTATTTACTCTTACAATATTTTTTATGTATTGTTGACGATTTATATTTTGTTAGTATTTACACCAATGAGGGCTACTTTAAATGTTGATAAGTAAATAAAAATACTAAAGTACCCTGAACACATTTTATGTTTTAACACCTAATCTCTTGACATAAAATATCGCCTGTTCTAAAACAAGAGATATCAAATGAGTTTGTATATAATATAATTTAATAGTTTAAGTACTTTTTACTGTGATCATGGCATAAATGGCCGAATAAGTGTTGAAAAATAAAATGTTTTTAGGGGACTTTTATTATACTGATTCCGTAAAATAAAATAACTGTTTCCACCATATGATTTAAGACATCAGTATTAAAAAATCCATACAATTTAAGTTGACAAAATCCTATTTATCATAGTTTATTTTTTGTAAATACAAAATCCATTTCTCCGTAAGAATTTTGTAATATTTCAACGAATTCAATTCCAGTTCTGTACACAATTTCAAAACTTACTTTTGTAATTTATTTTTAATTTTACGATCTTGTGTCAACTGTTAGTCGGG